AAAACACTTAGCAGGAGCTACTTGGACACATCTATTAATCTCACCCAGTAGTATTCCATTTTCTGGGGGCACCCAATGAGCTTCTCCCTACCCAGTTTGAGCTGTTACAGGAGCTTATATTTCTCCGAGATGAGCGATGAGCTGAGGGAGCACCAGCAGCTTCACCTCGCTGATGATCTTTGTTCCACACGTCCATCAGTTTGAAAACATTGCTGTTTCTTTCTTTCTGCCACAGGATCTAAAATGATGATGCCTTTCCCATCCCTTTATTATTAGACTTGTGCTTTGCTGCTAATAACCGGCTCCATTCATAGTGAGAGTTCATGAATTGAGAATGGCAGCCCTAATTACACCACTGTGACATAGAACAGTAAACAAGGGAAGCGTCATGACTTAGCATCATCCAGCTGTTGATGGGTGCAGTTTGCATTGGCAACCCATCACTGTAGCTCTCACAGAGGATGGGAGTGTTGCAACAGGTAATCTACCACCAGAGTCACAGTCACAATCCAGGCTTCCTCCCTAGGTCTGCAAATGAATTGAACCTATGACCTTAGGTAAATTTATCTGTCCATCAGAAGCTAGCTATAAAAATGGTCAGATTCTGCTGTGCCCTGTGTGGATGTGAGGCATCTTGGGAAGTGCCATGAATCCTTTCAGCTTCTGTGGTGTGATTTGGTAAACCACTGAAGTTCTAGCTGCCAGGACTCCAGAAAGACATAATGGAACAGGGAGACGTTCTAGAAAAGGACAACTGAAATTCTCAAGGCTGTGGGAAGGCTTCTGTATGAGAAAAGAGTAAGGATTCTTCTATTTGGAAAGGATTACTTCTATTTTGGCAAAAGCCAAAAGGGAGAATGATTGAAGTGTGTACACAAAAAGGAGAAACCATAGCCAATTCTAACCAATCCCATAATACCAGGGAACACCCTTTAAAGTTTGAAGGAAGTAGATTTAGGACCCATAAAAAGATGATCTACTTTACACAGTAAGAAATAAGCACATGGAATGTGTTGTCCTAATCAATGCAAAAACACTTAGCATGATTCATTTGACATATTGATTAATCTAGCCAAAGAGTACTAAATTATTGTGGCCATATGGTGGGATGGTGGAGCTTGAGGAAGGAATATAGCCCAGCCTCTCTGACAGCCATTCCAATAATGATTTAAGAGGAATGCTGGACTGAGAAGTGATTGGGAAATTGAAGGAGAAACTACAATGCATCATTTTTCCTGATGAAGATCATAAATTCTACCTATAGGCAAATGACCAGGGCAGGAACTGGGGAACAGCACCATTGGGTAGGGGACAAAGGTGGCATTGGAGAGGACTAGGGACATGGACTCAGCTAAGAATTCTGAATTAGGCCGGCAGGGGGGGACACCCTGAGCATATTATAGGATCAGTACTCTACCAAGAGTGGTTAGCACGGGGTCTCCCAAGGGACCCAAGAATTCAGACTTAGTACCTAGCACCTCAATTTTCTGGGACAGTGCAGGGTGGGGAGTCTTTCCAGAATGGAAAACTCATAGACTCAGCCCACCCCCCACCCCCCCACCCCCGAGCTCTCAGCTAGACCAGCAATGTCATGGCTGCCCAAAGCTGATCGTTTGAAAAAAAAAAAACCAACTAAACAAATGAACAAAAAATGGTAAAGCACTCTTATGAGGTCAGAGATGCCCAAGACACAAACCCAGAAAAGGAAGATAACTCCAAAATACCTACAAGCAAAGCCTCAAAGAAAAAACACAGCTTGCTATCAAGATCAATTAGTATTCTTAGACAAATGATGTAAGAATTTTAAAATGAAGTTTTAAATTATATAAATGAAATAAGAGTGATAAAGGGAAGAATTGGAGGAGAGACTTGCAAAGAGAATGAACAGCTTAGCACAAGAGGTATAAAACCTTGCCCAACTAACAAAAGTCCTGAAAATTAAAATGGACTAAACAGCAGTTAATAACTATGAGATAACAAATATTAAAACAAAATCAAAAGATAGAAAAAATAAAAGAAAGTATAAAGTGTCTCATATAAAAAACTGTCCTGGAAAACAGATCAGTTAACAATCACTGACTTATCTGAAAGTCATGACCAAAAAACAACAAACAAAAAAAAAATCCTATATATATTTCAAGAAATCATGAAAGAAAACTGCATTGATCTTTTAGAACCAGAGGGCAAAGTGAAACTAGAAAGAATTCACTGATCACTCCCTGAAAGAAACCCCAAAATGAAAGCTCTCAAGAATATCACAGCCAGAATACAGAGCACCCAGATCAAAGGGAAAAAAAATACTGCAGGCAGCAGAAGGAAATAGTTCAGATACCAAGCAATCACAGTCAGGATTGTGTAAGATTTAGCAGCTCCTACTTTAAAGAAACAGAGAATGGAACATGCTATTCCAAAAGCCAAAAGAAATCAGGTCACAACCAAGAGTAACTTAACCAGAATACTGTATATAATACTATAGGGGGGAAATGGACCTTTGATGAAAGAGAGGATTTCTAAGCATTCCTGATGAAAATACTTTGTTTTTCAGAAATGAATTGACTAGAAACTTTTGAAGTCAGAAATGTCTGAATAAAGAGAAACATAAAACAGTATATGCAATCAGAAAAGACTTTATAAAGTTGTAATTCTTGCCTTCTAATGGAAAGGGGGGAGGTGATGATTCAAGTATCCCCTAAAAACCTTAATGTCATTAGGAATCATAGAATTAGTCAAATATGATGGAGAATCTGAGAGTGATTTTCATTTTGTTTTGATGATCTTAAAGAAGAAAGGAAAGGGAAGGGGGAAAGGATACACTAAGGGAGAAAAGAGGAGGAATGAGAAAGAGACTTATCTCACATAATCAGAGTGCAAGTAGGAATCTACACAAATGAGAGACATATAGTAACACATACATTTTTTAATGTGGCCAATGTGGGCATTTATTTTCCTTGACTATGGGTTTGTGGCTTATTATGTTTGCAGGTTTCTGCTGTCTTCCCACACCCTATATCTCTTGTGGGAGGTGGGAGAGAAAGAGAGAGATGCTTTTTAATTGAAAAAAAATTGATTAAAAGAAAGAAAAAAAATTGTGGTCATACCAAACAAAAGTGATAAATAATTGTCCTTGCCCAGTTTGAGCTAGTTTTGCATTATTTTTTTTTGCTCAGACTTCTCCAAGATGAGTATAGCACTCAAAATATAGGTGGTACAGGTTATGATACCTTCCTAATGGGAAATAAAAAGAAATAGCTCCTTGGTGCCAATGCCATACATAGACTCTTGGGTTGCATGGACCATCAAACTGACCCAATGTGGTCATTTTTACAAGTTCATTATTCTAGTTGATTAAATGGTACCCCTTTCCACCTGAAAGGTTAATATCCTCCTAAAGTGATTCGTTGTCAAAACCCAGAATCTGGACCATGGCATAATTAATGTCCATCATTTTCCGATGGAATGTACCAAGGCCTAAAGCTTTCAACCTACATTGTTGTTTTTGTTGTTTGTCCTCTATTCTTGAGAGGACCATGACATCAGGAAGATGATGCCATGACTCGCAAGTGAATTGGATTTAAGTGAGGGAGGGCTGTGCAAGGTCACCAGCCTTACTCTCTCCTCCTGAGCCATCTGGGTCCAGTAGCTGGATATAGATCAGGATGACTGGAGGTGGCCCCCACAGCCACATCCATATGATGCCAGGTGAATGTTCGAGAAAGTAAGGGGACATCTTATTGTTGGAACTAGTCTCCATTCTATGATTTTGGCCCCTGACCAGGGCCAGTTAATTGCATTGAGTGAATTGTTTTTCTAGTCTAGTCTAGTACTTTGTAAGACAACCGCAGCGGATGTCAAGGAGAGGTTGACAGTTACTTTCAGGATTATTCATGTTGGTTGTCCCTGAATAGTGTGGTGCATTGAACTGGAGGACCTCAGGGGCTACCCTCCAGCTCCAGATTCAGGTATATGGCCAACTGCTGGATGGATTAAAAGTTGGTTTTTCCCTTCAGTCAATCAAGAAATACTTATTGAGTCGCTACTATGTATGAGACCTTTTGAGGGTTTACAAAAATAATATAAAACAGCAGTTGCCATCCCCAGGGAAAGAGAGTGAAGAGAGCATTCACAGATAGTGTGAATTCACACATACTGGAGAGAGTGTTCGCACATAGAAAAGTAACTAGTAAGAAATAGAAGGCTGTGTGTAATGAGACTACAATGAGTTCAGAAAAGGGAAAGATGACTTGATTGGCATGAATGGACAGAAAAAAAATTCATCAATGAGGTGAGACAGGCCTTGAAGGATGGGTATAGAACTTCCTTTTCTTTGTCCTTAAGGTTAATTCTCATTTTTTGTTTGCTTGCTTTGTTTTTAAGCAATTTGAAAGGAGACTTAACTGCTCCCAAGCAGTTAGTTTGTTTAGGAAACAAAATTTAAGAGGAGATAGGAGTAGACATCCTACCTAGCTATGTGACTGTAGGGAAGTCATTTAATTTCTTTCAGCCTCAGTTTCCTCATTTATAAAATTGGGGGTGGGGCATTTGCCTTGATGGCATCTAAGCTCTCTTTCAGTTTTCAGTATATAATCTTTTGAACTTCTGAGGGAGCTTATGAGAGTGATGCATCGCTCACTGTTCTGTGTGTGTGTGTGGGGGGGTGCCTCATTATCTGAGAACAGAGATTTGCAGTTGGCTTGTATGTTGGTTGTGTACACCCAGTGGTGGGATGTACGCATGACTCAGCTTTATCACCTCAAGTATCCAGATATGCACGCTCAAAGCTAATCCAACTCCCAATCAGTGACACGGCAAACATTTTCTTCTATAATTCTCAAGATTCTGCCTTGAGTTGTGATTAGTGTGCCATGCGTAAAAAGTATCAATCAACTGTTTTAGAGATATGTCTACTTTAATTAAATGTGTTACATACAACCTAATTGTCGAGCAAGAAGATGGAAAAATCCTTCATGTTCACAATAATGAAAAACTCATTTTTCCTTTAGAAAGAAGGCCCAGGACCGGCTTATTATGATGTGAAGGGATCAAATGTAAATCCTATCACATCCTGTTTCCAGTCAAAAGTGCCTAGATTCCTGCCAATTCGTTCAGTGAGTATTCTAGAAAATAGAGACCAGTCAGAAAAGAGGGCTCTCCCAGAGGGGCAGTGGCTTTAGTGACCAATGTAGTGTGAGAGGTTCAAAGAACAGCAATTAACCCTGCCCCACCAGCATTTGATGAGGAGTGGGCCTAGATGACTTTTAATCAAATAATTAATCAATCAACCAGGAAGTATTTCTTATGTTCCCTACTATGTGCCAAGCACCATGCCAGCTGCTGGGGGGGTGGAATAATCTCTATTTTCAATTCTAACAGGGGGAAGATATGTCCATATGAAAGTATATACAGCATAAATAAGAAGTTAATAAATACAAATGTATACAAAGTAGTTAAATACAAGGCAGTTTGGGAGGGAGGACACCAGGAGTTGGGGGGAATCAGAAAAGGCTTCATGTAGGAGACAGTTTTTGGGATGCATCTTGAAGGAAAAGGGAGACTCTGAGATAGAGGTGAGGATGGAGTGCCTTCCAGGGATAGGGGACAGTCAGTACAAAGGTTAAGACAGGAGGAACAGAGAGAGGGTTTGGCACTGGGGTTAGGTATGCCAACCTAACAGACTCTGGAATGGCCCTGAATCCAGACACGCTGTCTTTCCATTTCCCCAAAATATTCCTAACCAGAGCTCTCAAAAGGTAATGTTTTAGGGCTGGTAGGTGGTGCAGAGAATAGAACCATGGGCCTTGCAGTTAGGAGGACCTGAGTTCAAATATGCCCTCAAACACTTTTTTGCTGTGTAACTCTGGGCAAGTCACTTACCCCTGATTGCCTCCAGAAAACCCTTTAAAAAAAAAAAAAGAAAGAAAAAAGGTAATGTTTCACATTTCTTAGTAGTGCCAGTCCAAATTGCACCTTGGATTTGATTTAGTTCAACAAACATTTATTACCTTACAAATGATTGGCTGATATATGTGTCAGCTCTTTAAACTTTCTAAATGCTTTCAAATCTATGGTCTCATTTTATGGCTTTGAAAATAGATTTTTTGGGGGGGCAGCTAGGTGGTGCAGTGGATAAAGCACTGGCCTTGGAGTCAGAAGGACCTGAGTTCAAATCTGACCTCAGGCATGTAACACATACTAGCTGTGTGACCTCGGCAAGGTCACTTAACCCCATTACCTAACACCCCCCCCCAAAAAAATGAAAGAAAATAGATTTTTTTAAAAATATACATTTAAAACATAGAATCTTAGAGTGGGAAGGGATTTTTTTGTTTCAGGAGAAAACCCAATAAGCTTTATTCATTTTTTCTCCTGCCCTCTGCCTGTTCAAATTCCAATGAATGTACAACTTTCTCCTTCCAACCACTGTCTTGTGTCCTACTAAGAACCTGCAGTTGTGGTCGATTTCCTAGAGAATAAGGGGAAGGGGGTGGGGAAGAGGGAACAAGCATTTATTAAGCGCCTGCTATGTGCCTTGCACTGTACTGAGTAATTTACAAATATTATACAAATATATGTGTTTTATACATACATACATATATTATATATATATATATATATATATATATATATATATATAGTATATATCAGAAGACTTGAGGCTTACACTTTTTGGTGGGAGTAGGGGATGGGGGGGGACTGTGAATGAATCCTACTTTGCTGGTTGGTGGAATTAACCCCTACATTGTTTTCTTTTCTATGATAAGATGATACTGCCTTGCACGTTTCATAAGCTCTCAAATGAATTTGCTCCTTCAAATTTTGGGGAGCAAAGTGGCACTGTGGATCGAGCACTGGGCCTGGAGTCAGGAAGCTGTTCAGTCATGTCTGACTCTCCATGATCCCTTTTGGGGTTTCCTTGGCAAAGATACTCAAGTGGTTTGCCATTTCCTTCTCTAGCTCATTTTACAGATGAGGAAACTGAGGCAAATAGGGTGAAGTGACTTGCCCAAGGTGACTGAGGCCCTATTCAAACTCAGGAAGATGAGCCTTTCTGACTCCAGGCCCAGCACTCTATCCACTGCACCACCTAACTGCCTCTAGTCAGGGAGACCTGAGTTCAAATGTACTGTGAAAGAATCAAAGAGAGATAGGGATAGGGCTAGAAGCCTAAGGTGAGAGGTCAAGAGATTGGAAGCTAAAATATTCAGATGAAAGTCAGTCTGTTGAGAAGTATTTATTAGGAACTTAAAATGTACCAGGCACCATGCTAAACACTTGGGGATATAAAGAAAAGCAAAGACAGTCCTCAAATTCTAACTGGGAAGACGACATACAAAACATTACCCATGCACAATATATACAGTGTAAATGGAAGGTCGACCAGTGTCGGAGCCTAGAAGAAAACATGAAAGAACTCCAGTGGCTATGGCATTTATGAATGTATTTTTTTTTATTGATAAAAGACAATTTTGATTACCTGAGCCTAATTTCTTTTAGCTAGCAACAAATTGAAATCTCTGTCTCTGTCTCTCTGTCTATATCTGTCTTTTGGTCTCTGTCTCTCTCTCCCCAAGGCTGGGGAGGTGTAAGATAGGTTAGGGATGGAAGGGCGATTTCCTCATCTCAGAACATATGGCTGTATTCCCAAACTAAAATGCATGACTAGATTAGGGGTCAGGAATAGCATGCATCGTGTTTGTTAAACTATGCTTTGTTGCTCCAGGGCATTTGTTGACACATTTTTCTCAAAGGGGTGTGTGTGTGTGTGTGTGTGTGTGTGTGTGTGTGTGTGTGTGTGTGGAAGATGACCTCATGTGTAGACTTTAAAAGTTTATAACTCAACTGCTGCTATGTCACTTCAAGGTAGATTAACTTTCATTATAGTTGTATAGACAATCAGCTATGCCTTTGGTATTTTTTTCAGAAAACACCAGGCCCAGGAGCATACGCATGTTCCCCACAGATGCCTAAGCAGCCACAGAGTATTGCCAAGATGGGCCGAGAACACAGCATTTTGTTCAACAATACAATTGGGTTTTGAGTAAAGTGGTTTGGGTCTGTGACAACTTGTTGAGTTTAAGTAAAGCCTTCCATGAAAAAGAAAGATCTTGTTCATTCTTTTGGGATCAGTATAGGTTTTGGGATAGGGAGAAACTATTAGTATATATTATGATTTTTTTTTTGCCATATAACGTAATCCAATGCCTTTTTACAGAGGTGTGCTGGTGTTATAAAACTTGTAGGATCATCTCTTAGAGTAGTGAGAAATAAATTGTAAAGGGACCCACTTACCATCAAGACTTTGTTTATATTATTTGCTGTGTTCAAATTTTTCAAATTCTGTACTACATAAACTACATGGAACTGTTATTGGGTAATCTTCCCGGATTTGAAGATGAACTTAGGTCAGATTAAGTTTGGATCCAGAAAGGCAAGACTCCTACCAAACACCACCAAGTCAATTCAATAATTATCAATTCCTTGGTTATTTACTATTTGCTTAGTCTTGTCCGAAGTACAGGGTGAGTTGGGGAGGGAGAGAGACTGGTTTATGTTCTCAAGCAGTACACCATCCATTGGAGAAATAGAGTATTGTTCTGGGCAAAGGATGAATCAGGCCAGTCCCCTACTAGTTTAGGTTTGATACTGGCACAAAATGAGATTTATTTAGCCATAGCAGGAGAAGGATAGTCAACCTTGAACTGATTCAGCTGAGGGAAGCTCTCTTGCCTCCATTACCCATCATGCTCTGCCAGCCAAGCCTCCAAGAGTACCTTTTCATGGCTGCTTTTGAGATTCAGGCATGAGGATGTCAACAATCTGAACCCTTAATCACACGAACCAATCAAGTCTCAGGGAAGGTCTCAATACCTTTTAAGGAAAAATTAACCTAACCTGCATGGGGGGAGAGGTTAGGATACACAGACATACACTCCAGAAACAGCCAGATAGTAATAATAGGTCACAAAATGTTTTACTTGCTTTATCTCATTTGATTTGAAATATTAATTAATAGAAAGCAGTACGTGACTAAGTGTTCAAATGAGTATCACCTATAGGAAGTACAACAGGAGGTCTGGCAATCAGTCTGACTTGAAGTGGTCTTGGAGAGAAGAAGGGGAAGGGGTGAGGGAACTTCATGAACATGATAAGATTAGTTATTGTTGCTCACTCATTTTTCAGTTGTGTCTGTCTCTGTGACCCCAAGCCTAGAGCCAAGCCTTAATTAGAGGTACCATTTGGATAGGGGTGAGTGGGAAGAGCGTTCCAGGTAGGAGTAGAGTGTGAGTCAAGGTACGAAAGTGAGGATAAGCATGGTGTTTGCAGGGGTGAGGAAAGTGGCCTGGTGGGAGTGAAGGGTGCTTCTTGGGAAATGATAAGAAATAAGGTTGGATTGGCAAGGTAAGATCACATCATAGAAGACCCTGAATGCTAGGGGAAGGAGTATAAACACTGCTGGTCTTAACTCCCAGATGACCTCAAATGTAAATGCCACTCAGTGTTTAATTCTTCCCTGGCCTGGAGTCAGGAAGAACCAAGTTCAAATACAGTCTCAGACACTTAACTGGCTGTGTGTCTTTGGGCCAGTCACTTAACCTGTGTTTGCCTCAGTTTCCTCAATTGTAAAATGGAAATAATAATAGTACCTACTAACCAGGGTTATGGTGAGGATCAGGTGAGATAATATCTGCAGAGCACTTAGCACAGTGTTCTGATGTGTAGTAGGCACTATATAAATACTAGCTGTTTTTGTTATTTTTATTATTATTATTATTGTTACTATTTAAAGTAGTCATTATCTATTCATCTAGTTCTAAAAGAGCTTGGTAGAAAGTACTTCATAAACCTTGCTGGTTATTTTAAAGAGAAACTTTTTATAGCATATTCAAAGAAATGTCCAACTTTGGTTTAAAGAAAAAAAGAGCACAGTGGATAGAGCACCAGCCCTGAAGTCAGGAGGACCTGAGTTCAAATCTGGCCTCAGATCAAACACTTGACTGGCTGTGTGACCCTGGGCAAGTCACTTAACCCCAATTGCCTAAAAAAAAAACAAACCAAAAAAGAAAAAAAATCATACTCTCTGCTCTAGGATTATAAAGTTCTTGTGGGACAAGTGTTGGGGGTAGAGACAGTGAGAGGAAGCTGGAAGGAAGAGTCAGTCCTTTCTCTGAACATATTAAAATTTTATTATTTCTTTTTTGCAAAAGACTTCATATGTTTATTAGTATCCTAAAAAAAACCATTTTGGGTGGTCAGGAAAAAATATTTCAGGGTTGGCAATCACTTGTTCCACCTTGCATCCAAGATGAGTGTAGCCAGTGACTTTGTTTTTGCATAACTTGCATTATAAGATGCTCTTTTTTTTTTTAAAGCTCTTTTATGGACAAAGCAGCCTAACCAGCAAAGTTCCTTAAATGATCAATAAAGTAGAAAGCAGGTATTGGTAGAGGATTGTAGGAGAATCCTGATGGAGGATGTCCATTAGATAGCAAGAGTGTCTGGTTGTAATTAGGGGTCCAGGGAAGGGGGAAGGACAGACAGTGAGGTGTTTGTATCCCTGTTGGGAGGGGATTGAGGGGGAAGGTGTTCTGGGAATTTTCGTGCTGGTGTGAGAGGTGGAAATCCAAAGCAGGAGCTGGAAAGTAAAATATAAGAAAGCCATAGAGTAGATGAACACTATAGAGATTTTCTCTCAGTGCCCAGGTGGAAAACAGAACTTTGATGGGTCATGGCCACTTTGCCTATGAAGAATTTTCAAGACTGAAGATTGCGATTACAGGAGCATACCTGTAGAGAGATCCATGCCGCCTCTCCCTCCCACCTCCTCATGGCAGGGAGGCACAAATGATTGCTCTGGAGGAAGGGGGAGAAGGCCGGTGATGAGATATTTGTCCTTCATCACCCAATTCTGCAGAGGTCCTGGATTCTGGGCTGGCCTCAATGGTACTTTTCTTTAGGTACTGTTTTGGGAGGGGGAGAGAGAAAGTGGACAAGACCTATGATTTTATCAGTGAATGGAACTCTGGATATGGGAAATTCCTTCTTGGTCAACAACTGCTCTGAAATCTTTGGTCTTAGAGAATCTGGAGGGGGGAGAGGAAGGAGGAACTAAAAAGGGGAAGGTGATTTGAGTTGCAACAAAGTGCTCTTCCTCGTCCAGCCAAGGCCAAAGGCCTTTCCCATTCTTCCAAGTGTCTAAGCACATTATTTTTTATAAAATTTTAAAAAGATTTAATACTATTTTATTTTTTCCAATTACATGTAATGACAATTTTCAACATTTTTTTTTTAAGATTTTGAGTTCCAAATTTTTCCCCTTTTCTTCCTCCCCTCCCCCTTCCCCAAGATGGCAAGCAATCTGATATAGGTTATACGTGTAAGTACATTATTTTCAAGAAGAGTAGTCAGGTTGCATTTTAGATCAGCTTTGATTTTGAGCAGAATCAAAGAGTATGGGAATTTCTCATGGTTTGGAGGAAAGGGAGAGAGGTCTCTTTCTTCGAGGGAGTGAAATCTAACTTAAGGTTATTGTCCTCCCACCCCACCCTTTTCCCAACTCCTCTCACCAGGGAATGTATAATAATAATACTAGTAACAAAAATATAATAATAGCCACTGGAGTAGCTAGGTGGTGTGGTGGATAGAGTAATGGGCTTGGAGTCAGGACGATCTGAATTCAAATCCAGCCTCAGATGCTTACTAGCTGTGTGACATTGGACAAGTCACTTAACCCTATTTCCCTCAGTTTCCTCATCTGTAAAATGAGCTGGAGAAGGAAATGGCAAACCACTCGAGTATCTTTGCCAAGAAAACCCCAAAATGGGGTCACAAAGATTTGGACATAACTGAAATGACTGAACAAGATTTATATAACTCCCACTATGTGCCAGGCACTACAATTATTATCTCATTTGATCCTCACAATAACTCTGGGAGATAGATGCTGTTATTATCCCCATTTTACAGATGAGGAACCTGAGGCAAACAGAGTAACTTGCCCAGGGTCACACAGCTGGTAAGCATATAAGGCTGGGTTTGAATTCAGGTCTTCCTGACTCCAGGCCTGGTGCTCTATCCACTAAGCCCCCTAGCTGCCACCTCTATACTGGATGTCCCAAAAGTCTTGGACTTTAGGGCCTCAGACCACTAAGACTTTTGAAACACCATGTATCTTCTTGAACCATTAACATCAAGATATGCAAAAAATAACCAACCAGCAAACAATTAAACGCCTTTAAATGTGGGAAAAGAAAATTCCAACATTTTCAATTTTCTTATGTAAGCTCTGCAGCGTGATGTATACATGTCAAATAGTATCTACGGGATGAAATCATTTCTCTATCAACAAAAGAAAAATAGGCTTTGTTTTTTTCCTCAAACATCTTATTACTGTTCTTTATATCACTTTTATTTCTGGATATATCTTTCCCTTGCTTCCCCCCCCCCCCCCCATCAGTACTCTCTGCTAACAAAGATTTAAAAAGAGAGACAAAGAAGTTATGCAAAATCAACCCAAATGTAAATCAAGTCTGACAGCATATGCGATAATTCACACCCTTGCTACTCTAAATCTGTAAAGAAGGGAAGGAAGTATATATTTTTTCTTTTCATTTTTTAAACAAATGAATGAGAACGCATTTATGAAGGGCTTACTACTTACTGTGTGAAAGGGACTGACAGATACAGACAGCATCTGACCCCCCAGGAGCTTATCTTCCTTCCTTCCCGCCCTGATTCCAACCTCAAGACATGGCACAGTCACACAGAACAAGTTCTCGTATGGACGATGTTCAAAAATATGTCATTCCGCATATTAGCCCATGACTTCTCAGTCAGGGGTGGGTAGTTGTCTTCATCATTGGTCATTTTTTGATCATTGCATTGATGAGAGTTTTTAAGTCTTTCAAAATTGTTTTTACAATGTTGTTGTTATAGGATAAGTTGTTTTCCTGGTACTGCTCATTTCACTCTGCATCAGTCTATATAAGCAGTCTTGGGGTTCTCTGAAACCATGCCTTCCTTTCATTCATTTCTTACAGTACAATAGTATTGCAGTACATTTATATACAATCATTTGTTCAGCCATTCCCCAACTGATGGGCACCCCCTTATTGTTCACTTCTTTGACAACAGAAGAAGGGTTGCTATAAATATTTTTGTGTATATATAGGGCCCTTTTCTCTTTCTTTGATCTCTTTGGGGTCCAAACCAAACTTCAGAGAGGTAAGTGGGTATAAGTGGTTGTGGAGAGTCATGCTTTGTCCTTGTGG